AAAGACGGGATATGGGGGCATGGGCTTGTGAGTGTCTCTCTGATAGGGTCAGAGGGAGTGGGAATAGCATAACCCCTCACTGCCCTAGAAGAGAAAGCAGATAAGGAGCCTATAGCCCAGCCCCATGGTACCTCTAGAGCCACAGCAGCAGCAAGGGGTTCATTTATTCATCGTAGACTCACACTCTCAGAGTTTTGGTACCCAGAATGACGTTAATTAGGGAATTAAGGTGTCAGTCTGGAGACTAAGATGCGCCTAATACAGGCCATGGTCTTTGCAATCACTTGCTGTGCATTGGAGAGGTGGACAGTGACTAGGGATGATAGAAGGAGATTGATGATAAAGAGTATTTAAACAGGTTCGACCTTGAGAGGGGTAAACCAGGCTGCTCCTTAGAGGCAAGGATTCTGAAATTTCATTTGACATACTTTGGACATGTTGCTAGGAGGGACCAGTCCTTGGAGAGGGACAGTCCAAGAGAGGAAGACTATTGACGAGATGCATTGATTCAGTGACTGAGGTTATGGGAGTAGGTGGTCAGAGACAGTGAGATTGGCAAAGGATAGAGCAGGATTTGGGGCTCTTGTACATAGGGTCACTGTGAGTCATAGGAACATAACAAACAATAACAAGTTTTAGAGTGGGGAGGCAAAGAATATCTAGACTTGGTAAAAGTCCTGGATCAGTTTAGCAATACAAATTCAAGAAGCCTCTGATTTCTTCATTCATCAGCAAGGTTTGCCTCAGAGCACTTATAAATCAGCTTCTACTTCAAGCATCTGACAAGAACAGCAAAAATGCAAGAAGCCTCTAGGTCTCACCTTGCCACAGTTTCTGACAGCAATGCCACAGTTTCTCAGCCATCATCGCCAGGGACTCGCTTTCACCAGGGTCTTGCTCCAATCTCCCTCAAATCTTGTCACTCAGTTCTTGCTTCCACAAATCTTGCTATTCGAGTGGGAAATTCTCTTATCCTCATCCTAGAGCTGTTGATAACTTGCAAGAGTATGTGCCTGCTGTTAATGTAGCTGAAGACCAGGAGGGGCTTAATGTAATGGCTGAAAAAAGCCAACTTTTAGGCTAACATCACACCATCCTTTTCCCACAGAGCCGCTGGTGGATTCTAACTGCATGCTTTTGTATTGCAGCATAACTTCTTATCACTGGAGGTTCCTTATTTGTTCATTGATAAATTTAAAGATGATTCATGAATACCAAGAGCAACAACAATAAATTAAGGTGGCTCTGGTGGCGATTGTACTGCAATATAAAGGTACCCAGCTTGAATCCACTAGTTGTTCCGTGGGAGAAAGATGGGCAGTCTGCTTATGTGCGATTTACTGTCTTTGAAAACTTACTAAAGGATCAGCCATGAGTCTGTTCAGACTTAACCTTACACAACAGTAACCACATTATAAGTGAAGGGAGGTTGGGTGGCATAGTCTGTAGGATACTGTGTTGGTTACCCAAAAGCAACATCTCTGGGACAGTGTGAGTTTACCACTGGCTCCACAGGCCAAAGTTGGGTATTTTCCTCCCATGTAATTACTGCCTCTGAAAACCTGCTGCAAGTTCAGCAATGACAGTGAGTTGAATTACTATAAAATAAGCACGAATTAGGCTAGGTTCTGGAGAGAAAGTTGTTAGCGTTTGCATTCTTGGCCAAAGGGCAATAATATTGTTGTTTTGAGGGTACCTTGGGTTCACTATGACATAGCAAGCCACCATTCTCACAGTTTCTGCCATGCTCCAGCCCATTATTTTGGTCATTGGGTCACTTTGGACAATGAAGTCACTGTTGATCTATCTTCTTGAAAGTCATCCTCTTTCTTGCTTATCATCCTTTCCATGCATGTTGCCTTTTCCCCCAAAGACTGGCTCCTCCTGATTATATGTCCCAAAGTATGTGAGACAGAGTTATACATCTTTGCCTCTAAGCAGTACCCTAGTTGCACCTTGTCCAAGAGAGATTTGTATGGGGTCTTTTTTTGTTTTGGCTTTTGTGTTTGGTGTTTTTTGGTTGTTTTTGGTTTTTTTGGGGGGGTGGGGGGAGGTCAGACAATAGTATATTTATTCAGTACTCTGCTAGCACCACAAGTCATTGTTAACCAATTTTTCTTTCATCTTCCTTATTCATTGTCCAACTTTGAGATGTAATTGGGAAGCAATAGAAAATACCATAACTTAGATGAGGCGCATTTTAGTCTTTAAACTGCTGTCCCAGCTCTTTCATGCTTTGGAGGGGTCTTTGACGGCAAGCACATTTTCTCTGTGAAACATGCTCTTGATTTCTTGACTGCTGCTACCACTGATGTTGATTGTCAGTCCAAGTAAAATCAAGTCATTGACAACTTCACTCTTTTCTTCCATCTATCATGTTACTGCCTATTAAAAACAACAACAAATCCAGAAAACTCAAGCTTTTTAGAAGTAATAAGGCATACTGTTTTCATGGAATTTACAGATCAGTGTGACTAACGTATTGAGTTCAAGATTGAGAATCGTGATATCTTGCCCTGATTCTGAACATTGAGAAGAAAGGGATTCTGAGAACACTTAATTGTGCTTACCTGAGACCTAGACCTACAGGCTGTTGTGTAAACAGAGCAGGGGAACACTACATGGTTTAAAATCAAGAAATATGTGTCAGGCTGTATCCTTTCCCCCATACCTGTTCTTTCTGCTGAGCAGATAATTTGAGAAGCTGGACTTGATAAAGAGGAATGTGACATCAGGATTGTAGTAAGACTCATTGGCAACCTGTGTTTAAGCAGATGGCACAACCTTGCTTGCTGAAACACAAGCTGTGGAATTAGATCTCAATATCAAGAAGACATAAATCCTTCCCACTTGGCCAGTAGGAAAAATGATGATAAATGAAGAAATAATTGAAGTTGTTTTATTTCTCTTGGATTCACAAGCAATACCTTTCATACCAGTAGTGAAGAAATGGAAGACTGGGGAGTGTTGGAAATCACTAGGATAACGGAATGGGGGGGTAGAGGTGAGAAGGAATTAGGAAAGATAAGTGGCATCTGAGAAGACCTAGTAATGGCAGTTATAGGTCAATGTTGATTAATTTTATCAAATAATGTACATGAGTGATCCTTTAAAATAATGTGAATCTAGGAACCTGTGTAACACAGTATACACAAATGGTACACAGTGTGTATGAATTTTTGTATGGAAGCCAGTATGATATAAAAATAAGAAAAGATTTCGCCCTATAAATATATGATGTTGTTTTTTTTGTAAGCATGACTCATAGTGACCCTTTGAACAAGAGGCCTGAATAGTAATGAATAAATTATGGGGTTATTTGAAGATGAGTTAAATTGGGAAAATCTTTTGTAAGGACATCCTCAAAGTGCTGAAGAGTTAATAATATTAGATAAAAACTAAGGTGCTCCTGATTCAAGTTCAGTTACTTGCTGTGCATCTAAAAGTTGGACAATGAATAAAGATGACAGTAAAAGAATCAGTGCCTTTTGAATGTGGTATTGGAGGAGGGGTACGGAATATACTATGGACTTGTAAGAGTACTAACAGGTGTGTCTTAGAGAATGTGAAAGCAGGGTGCTCCTTAGGGGTAAGGAAGGATGAAGCTTCGCCTCACATACTTTGGGTGTATTGTTAAGAGAGGCTAGACCTTGAAGGAGGAGACATCACACTTAGAAAGGAAAGAGAGGAAGAGCCTCAGTAAGGTGGATTAACACAGTGACTTTAACAGTGGGCTCAAAGATAGCAGAGATGATGACAATAGTGCAGGTTGGGGCCATCATTCAGATTGCTTGTTCATCCTCACCTTGACAGTACCTACCACACAGTAACCATGAACGGAATTGGATTCTCTTCGTTTCTAACATGTTCTCAGATGATGCTAATGTTTCTAGACTGGCATTTACAAGATTGACTTAACACTTCTACCTTGCCATCTAACCATGCTACTTCACTGGTGGGAGACAAGTCTGAGGTCTCAATTCATAGAGTTTCGAAAAGATTGAGAACCACAGACAGCATTGACTGTTATTAATGATTATTGCTTGTTCTTATAGATAAAGCTTGTTTGAAAAACTAAAGTAAAATTACTTTTGTCGTAATCAGTTATTTTGTTCTTTTTAAAATGGTGATTTGAGTGAACATTTACAGAATAAATTGATTTCTCATTGAACATTATTACACAGTTATGACATTGATTATAATCCCTGTAATGTAGCAACATGCTTCACTTCTCCTTGTGTCTTCTATTCCCTTGGTTCTTCTTTTCTATTCCTCCTACCTTCAGAGTTTTATCTCATGGCAGGCACTGTTTTGTGGTTTTGGTTTTTCTTTTTATATGAAATGGTTGGTTCTCCTAAGAAACCTATCCACTGTTTTGCCAAAATTGAGAACCATGGATGGTTTAGTTCCAGATGTGAAGGGTGTCTAAGAGCCAGAGTGTTGGGGGGTTGGAATTTCATCAGTCTTTGTCACATGTGTAAACTCGGTCCTTTTTTACAATTTTTGAGTTTATTCTACTTTTCTTCCCACTCAGTCCAAGACCTACTATTGTGATCCCTTTTAGAGTGGTAAGCAGGAAGGGTGAGGTAAACCACCTAGTTCTTGTTTCAGGGGTGTGGAAGCTGGGTTTCACTGCGTCCTGTGAATTTGATTTTTACCTGTAATTAAAGAATTGTTTAAGAAGAGAAAAAGAATCTTTGATGTCTACATTTTGCTTCTCTTTGTGCCAGGCACTCTTTAAAAGTAGTTCATTTAAGTATTTTTAAACTTTGATCAGGAAGTATTCAGGAAATCACTGATCTGGAATATTTGTTTATGAGAAATTTGTTGTATCGACAATATCTGTCATTGTCTATAACTGTAGTCTAGAATTATCTCTGCATAGTTTGATTCTTCTGTAATTAGTGAACTCTGTAACAGCAAAGTGGGATCAGATGTGTAAATAGATATCATTGTTAAAAGCCTATCTTAACATTTAAATTTTTCTTGTATTCTTTTAGAGACCAAGAAACGGCAGTGTAAAGTTCTCTTTGAGTACATTCCACAAAATGAAGATGAACTGGAGCTGAAAGTAGGAGATATTATTGATATTAATGAAGAGGTAAGGAAAGCAAAATATGTTAGAGATTAAATTGGAATTTTTGACACTCTGGGTTTTAGAAAAATTTCTTAAAATACTGATTTTCCTTCCTCTGAAGAAATTTTGCCAGTTTCATCGCCTTTTATAGAAATTTTAAGGTAATAAATTTTAAAGTGGATATTTAACAATTTCATTGTATGTGGATTGATAAGTAACTGGGGCAGTAGGGACAGGTCTGTTGAAGACTGGCTGAGGACAGGGAAGGCTTCAGAGCTGCTGTACGTAAGGTTGCTATGCGTCACAGGCAACACATAACACCAGCAACAGCATTTGTAGAAATAAAGTGTTTTATATGTTTTCTGTATTATTAGTGCTGCATTTGAGGCTCTTACCTTTAGAAAGTAATATCCTCCCCCCAAAGTCTAATGCAATGAAAGTAACTAAATTCACAAATAAGCCTTTTATTTGATTCAGTATAGGCACAAAGCAAGGATATAGAAGAAATTTCACTTTGTGCATAGTAAATGCAAAATAAAAATCTTAACAGAAAGCTTTGTTTTGTATGAATTATAACTAAAAATGAACTAAAACTTTTTCATATCTTAATATCATAGAGTAAGACTTAAAAATAACTTTTCACATCTCTCTTTTTACCATTGAAGGAGTGTTGAGGTTTTTAATCTGATAATGATCCTAATTTCAAATTACATACGCTGATATCAGATATTGGTACAGTAATTGACTTTTGTGTCCTAATTCTATGTAGCATAATTTGTGTTTAGGTCAAATACAAAAAGTAGATCTGTTTTATTTTCATAGGCAGGAAAATGATATTTTTACTGAATCCATATTTATTGGTACAGTAATAGATGCTACTTATTTAGAATAATTTAATAATAACATACTGTAATCTATGTTAAGTATTTCACATTAAGGTAAAAAAATTTATTCCTATATTACATATGAAGAGCTTGAGTCATATAGGATAAGTAATCGAATGTTCCATTTATTATTATTGCTTAACAAACTTCCCCAAACTTGGTGACACAGAGCAGCTTTCATTATGCTTATCGATTATGTGGGTTAAAAAATCAGAGTGAGTACAGTTAAGATAGCTCATGATGTCTAAAGACTGCCACTGGAAGACTCAATGCATGTAGGTGGCAGGAATCATGAAACAGTTCTTCACTCACTTGGCCATGCCTACTGGCTGGATTGTTGAATCAAGAGCCAGTGATTTAATTTATCTATGGGATGGAAGTCTCCAGAGTCTCAGGACAGTGTAATTTATTTCATAGTCGTTTACTGTGCAAAGTGTAAGAATTTCAGAAATGTGTTTATAGTTGTGTGTTGCCTTTTACTTTAAGTCTTGGAAGTGACAATGTTATTTTCAATGCCTTTTTTTTTTGCTATAAATGCATCTTAAACCACTTAGATTAAAGAAGAAAAGAACAACGATTACTGCTTCTTGGTAAAAGAAGTGTTAAGGTCACATTGTAGATGATCATGTGGGATGTAATACCTTGTTGCATCCGTTTCTGTCCCCAAATTCTTATGTCTAGTGTGCAAGGGAGGCAAGATTTGAATTCAGGCTGCCTGGTATTGGAGTCTGTTTAATATATTAAACAAAAAAAAGAGCTTTCTTGGGGGTTAGAAATGATACCTACCCAATATAATATAACAGTGCTTACAGCTAATGAAGAAAAGTTCCATAGTCAGTAATTTGATCTTTGAAAAGTAGATTTTACCCATATTAGTATTTTTAGCTGATTATACATGTGAAACAGGTATTAAATAATTGATTTAACAGTCCTGTGGAAATTAAGTGACTTTATTGTTGTTGTTGTGTGTTGCTGATTTGGAACAGATCTGTAGCTGACCCTCCATCGGTTTTTCAGAGGCAGTAGATTACATAGGAGGAGAGCCATCTTCTGTGAAGCAGCTCTTACTCCTACTGAGTTTAGTTTATGAAGATTATTTCAGGTTAAGAAACACTTGATTTTTTAAAAAAATTAGAAATTATTCGTTTAAGTAAGAGGCTTAATAATATTATATGAAAACAAAGAACTTGACCCTTTGTATCATTAAGGTCTGCATTGTTGAATTCAACCAGCTAATGATCCAAAACACTGAAGTAGGGGAGGGGATGAAATTGTGTGGTCAGAGAAATCCCTTAAGGGCTAAGAAGAAATATACAGTGCTGTTTACATAACATATAAGTTACATTTAAAATGTGATCTAGAGGTAGAGTGTGTAGGAAGATGAATGCAAATTATAGTAAATATAATGAAGAGTGTTTTAGGACGCTCTGGTCACATAGTCTGTAGGGAGTTGTGCTGCTAATAGAAGGGCTTCTGACAATTCAAATCCATTAGAGACTCCAAAAGAGAAAGAAATACCTGTGTAATTTACAGCTCCAGAATCCTGCTTGAGGATCAGCTAAGAATTTTTTCTGATTACAGCTGTGAGTTTGAGGTTTTTTTAAAATGCTGGTTCTATAGTTAACTTCTCCATTTAGTTATCTATGGCAGGATTCTATAATTAACCTCTCCATTTAGTTATCTATGGTGGGATTCTGGAGCCAGTACCCTGTGGATACTGATGAACAGTTACATTTTTATATGCATCAAGTTTTATTAACAAAGCCAAGTTTCCACACACCTTAAATACTGTTGGTTACAATTATAAATTCAAACACACATAATCGTGTTTAAGCAAGTGAAATTCCAGAAAGCAGTAGAACTGCATTGAGTTACCATGGAGTTGGAACTGATCCATAGTGGACCCTCCAATAGGTTTTTAGAGGCTATAAATCCTACCAGAGGAGATTGCTTATCTTTCTCCCATGAAATTCTAGAAAAGAATTATTTTACTCTTATTTTTAAAGGAAAGAGTAAAGGAAATGGAAAGATATGATGGGGACCTTAAAAAAATGGAGTTATGATGGCTGAAGTTCATTGGTGATTAATTTTATAAAACACAATATATAAGAATTATTGTATGAAACAGGGTGAATGAAGGAAAATGTGAAACACAGTGTACATAAATTTTGTATGCCAGCCAATATAAAATAAAAATTTAAAAAAGGAACCCATGGTATATGCTACTTTTGTGGAAATTATTTACTTCATAGATGGCAGTTGATTATAAAGTATCATAGTAAAGGTTACAAAGTACTATCGATACATGATTAAGTCCATAGTAAAGATTAATTAGACCCATTTAAATTTAGCTTAAATGACATTTTCGCTCAATTGTGTTTGCTAAGGAGCGCTCATGTTATGGTGGCTTACATGTTGAGCTGCTAACTAGAAGGTTGATTGTTTAAAGCTGCTGTTCAGGAGGACAGTGAAACATAATAGAGTGCCATTCCATGGTAGGAATCAACTCAGTGGCAGTGGGCTTTCTGGGTTACAGTTTATGTCACTAACTTTTTTTGCTCATTCTTTTACATAGCCTATTTTCTAATAGGGATGGTTTTTACTTTTAATAAACAGCATTTATTATTGAGTTATGAACTCTTTCAGGTAGAAGAAGGCTGGTGGAGTGGAACCTTGAACAATAAGTCTGGACTTTTTCCCTCAAATTTTGTGAAAGAATTAGAAGGAATAGATGATGGTGAGACCCATGAAGCCCATGAGGATGCAGGTAGACTCTTTGAACAGTTTTAATAGATTTTAATTTATTTCATATATGACCTTGTTTTCATTATGTATTTTTTAATATTTTAAAATCCTGTTCTTGTTAACTAATCAAAACCCAAACACATTACTGTTGAATTGATTCCAACTCATTCTGATTCCATCTAGCATACTGGGAAACTGCTCCAGAGAGTATTATGACATATGGATAGGGTTTTATTCTTTTGTACTGCTAGTTTAATGGGATCTTGCCAAATATTTAGATTAGAAGTTGAATACAAATCCACTTCAGAAACTAACACATAAGCTGTTTTGAGCTGTCAATTGTAATTTACCTATTTTTTAAAAAGTTCTTATATAATAGGGACATACACAATCACTCTACCAGAAAAAAAAATCTTGGTTTGCACTGAAACATTTCAAGAAGTCCCATATGAACAAGAGCCAGTAGTAACAAAGGAAGAAGTTCAAGCTGCAGTGAGAACATTGGCAAAAAATAAGGCCCCAGGGAGTAGATGAGATACCAGTTGACATGTTTCAGCAATAGATGTAGCCCTGGATGCACTCAACTGTTTATGCTAGGGAATTGGGAGGATAGCTGCCTGGTCGGGAGACTGGAAGAGCTCTATAAAGTGAAAATTATCAAACAATAGCATTAATATCACAAACAAGCAAAAATTGCTAAAAATGATCAGAAAAATACATTAACAGGAACTGTTAAAGGTTCAGGCGAAATTTAGAAGAGGCCATGGCACCAGGGATATCAGTGCTCATGTCACATGGATCCTGGCTGAAAGCAGAGAATACCAGAAGAATGTTTCATTGACAGTGCAGAGGCATTTGACTGTGCAGATGACAGTAAATTGGCTAACATTGAGAAGAATGGGAATCCTAGAGCACTTAATTTTGTTCCTGTGAAATCTGTACCTAAATCAAGAATCTTTTGTCCAAATGGAACAAACAAACACTGCTTGGTTTAAAACCAGGGAAGGGTGTGTGTCAGGATTATATTCTTTATACCTGTTAAATCTGTGTGTAGAGAAAATAATTCATAAAACTGGATTCTACGAAGAATTGAAGGAAGACTTATCAACAACCTGCATTATTGCAGGTGACATAATCTTGTGTGCTTAAAGTGAAGAGGATTTATAATGTAGCCGGAAATCAAGAACTACAGCCTGCAATATGAATTACATCTCAACATCATGAAAGCAGAGTCCTTACCACTAGGCCAGTAGGCATCATCATGATAGTTGGAGAAAGAACTGAAACTTGTGAATGATTTCATTTTACTTGAATCCAGTCAGCGCTCTGGTACCAGGAGATCAGGAGGCTTACTGCTTTGGGCAAGACTGTTGTCATGGACCTCTCCAAAGTATTGAAGAACAATGATGTCAGTTTGAAGACTTAAGGTTTGCCTAATTCAGGCAATGTAAGTTTCAGTCACTTCCTAATACATTTGAGAGCTGGACACTGAATAAGGATAACAGAAAGGAATTGATACCTTTGGGTGGTGGTGTTGGACAATAACATGATCCCATGGACTGATAAAAGAAGGAACAAATGTATCTTAGAAAAAGTGCAGCCTTGCTGTCTTGGATGAGGCTCCTTGGAAGCAAGGATATCTAGGTAAATTTAAAAAAAATAAAATTTTTTCTTAAGTATCCTTTATCCCTAAGAAATTCTTTCATACTGTGATTAGAAATTATTTGCTATATTTAATTTTATTTTCTCCATTAACATATGTACCTTTTAATCTGCTAAATTTACAGATTACCTGTTTACTAAAAAATTTTCTTAACTACTTTTTGCTTTCTACTTTAACAATAAAAATTTTTCTCTGTGCAGCTAAGACGTGTCATTTTTTTGGTGACTGCTGTCCTTTAGAAAATTACACACAAATTTATCTTAACTTGCTTATTATTCAGATGTATGAGAAAAATTTTCCTTGAAGCCAGATTTAGATTTTGTTTCTAAGAATCATGAGATCTAAGAAAGAGAGATTGAATTTGTAAGTGGTAATGAATTCTTTTTCTTGTTTGAAAAGTTTACATACTGAAGATTTTTTCAGGACTTTGTACTACTGTTGGACAGTTTTACTAGTGTGCTGATATCTCATGATTATCCTTGTCTTAGTGATTTTTGCTTAACTCTATATTCTTTGGTTTGCAAAATACAAATAATATTTATTACAAAGTTTTAGGAAGGATAAGGCTTGTAACATAGTAGATTGGTTTGTTTTACTTATTCTGTTCACTTCCTTTTATAAATATTTTCCATGTTTTTTATAAATATAAATACTTTAGAATTATGTAATAGGTCATTATAAAGCTATTGTGCATAGCATCTGATGGTGTCTGTGTACTCAGTGGTAATGGATAAACTTTAGAGAAGAAAAACATCTCAATTTGTAGTTTTAAATATAATAGGTGATGTGGTATTAAACATTATTGATATGATACCTAGAGGTTATTATATGGTAATCCCTAAAGTTTATGTGACATATTTTTAGTTACCATTTTAGATTTTCTCCAGAAAGTTGCCTAAAACATTTGTCCTCATCTGTAATGATGGTTTGTTTGTACATGAATGATTTATGCAGGGGTTTTTATGCTTTGGTAGTTTTCTAACAACTTGAACCCAGAGAAAAGTCAAATAAATAAACTATAGAAGATAGCCTGAAATAACTTTAGACACATCTGAATATTGGTCATGAAAGTCTGGCTGTAATATTCTCATTTATTTATTAGGAAAGAAACCAAGACTTTGAAGTTATGACATATATTTTCTACATGGGTAGTCATATACCAAAACTAGTACTTCTAAGAATTTGGCTTATTTGCTTTCTTCCTGTATACTTTCCTTACTATTTCATACCATGCCGGTCCCTCCTTTTAAAACAGTGTTGTTTTATAAACTTTTTTTTTAACTTAGAGAAAATGACAAAAATAGTACAGGATTCTTCTGTATTTATATATACAATCATGGATGCTTCCTGTCCATGGTACATTTATAAAATAGTATATAATATGGAATTTGTGTAAACAAACTATTACAGTCTGGTAATGCTTTTTTTTAACCATCTCAAACAAGCTTTGTTCATTTGCAGTGATTGTCAGAGTATTGAAAAGGGTTTGTTTTTGTACTTGACCCTCAATCTAAATCTTTAGTAATTTCTCTACTGCTAATAGAGGTCCCTTTTGCAGTTTTGTTGTTTTAATGATTTCAGTGGTACAAATTCTTCCGATAGCTTGGAGAATTTTTTCTTTGTTTTTGAAGATTGTGGTGTGGTGGGGGAATACATTATGCCTAAATCATGAGCAGTAATGCTCACTGATTTTTCATCTTGCTATTGTTTAATAATCTTTTGTTTCACTTAAAAATTGATACTTCTCCTTCGCATCTTGTTACCTCTGTCACTAACACTGGTTTTTCTGTGTTGGGGAGCCATGATGGAGTTCAAGATAGTATTTTCAAAAGGAAGTTAAACAGAGAGATTATGTTCTACTGGAGACATGTGTTACATGAGCTTGGATCCCACTGCCAATAAGTTAGACATTATTATGTAATAACCTTTTTAGATAGAGAGTACAGTAAAGGATAAACATGACATCTAACATAAACATTTATTATAACACATGTGTTATAGATTGTGTATGTACTGTATGATCATGTGTCACACAGCATGATCATTGTATATACAAGAGACATGAGATACACATTCCATTTTCCAGTTGACATTTCTGGCTTTTGTTATAACTTTACAGACCCACAAATGTATGTGTGATCAGAAGTTCCCCTGTGGGATGTTATGCTGTGCCGCTCTTAATTATACTCTTTCCTCAGATTTACTGCTTGCTTGTCATTATTTCACCATTCAATAATTTCTTATTTATTCATTTAAAACAAACCAAATCTTACTTGTTACTATCAAGTTTGTTCTGACTTAAGGCAACCTTCTGTGTGCTCCATAGGCGTTTCAGTGGTTGTGACCTGAAGCAAATTGCTAGCTTGTCCTTCTGAAGTACCCCGGGGTGGGCTGGTGCCACCAACTTTTATGGTACTCCTGTGCTTTCTGATTTTTTTAGCCCTTAAACAGCTAATCTTTTAACTAAATGTAGTAATTATTAAAGTTTTCCCCTCTAATACCACAGTATACATTTCCCCCCCAATAATTTTCTTTTTTAAGCACATCAGTGAGAGAGATGAATGAAATAACATTTGTTTTATTATGTTTTCTAAAAATAATTCATTTTCTTTAATAAAACTCACTTCCTTTGAGTTGATTCCAACTCTCCAAGCCTTTGTGTGACAAGGCATAGGATTTCCAAGGCTGCCACACTTCCTAGAGTGGGTGGTGAATAGTTAACAGCCAAGTGCTTAACCACCATGCTGCTTTTATTTTCCTTACAAACGAAAAACAAAAATGCGTAAAACTTTCACACTGCCTGAGGTCAGTCAGTTCCATCCCATAGCCACCCTGCACCAGGTTTCTTAAGCTGAAAATTGAAACGGGAACAGACAACCCATCTTTTTTCCAAGAGGAGCAGCTAATATATTGGAACCCCTGGAAATATGCAACCTTTTGTTGGCATCACAGCGCCCTCTAACCAGGTCTACCAGAACTACATGGTATTACTGATTTTTAATATAATTCAACTCATGGCTGTGAAGTTAGAACTGACTTAGAGCTGACCCTTCAGTGGATTTTCAGAAGCTGTAAATCACACAAGGAGATTGCCCATCTTTCTCCGTGGAGAAGTTGGTGAATTTGAACCTTGAGTTGGCAGTGTAGATCGCCAGGGCTCCTCTTTTGGATGGCTGCATTTTCTCTAGGTTTGTGAATTTGTTGGAGTATTGTTCTTCATAGTAATTTCTTATTATCCTTTTATTTTGGTTGATTGCATTGTAATCATGCTCTTCTCATTTCTTATTCAAGATGCTACTTATTAGTTACTTCTCCTTTTATTATCTTCTTTTAGTGTTTGTTAGATTTGCCAGTAGTTT